GATGAAATGCTTGTGATCCTCTAAATTCACATGTTGACATCCTAACCCCTAATGTGATGGTATCAGGGGATGGGGCCTTTGGGAAGTAATTAGCTTTAGAAGGTGGAGCCCTTATGAATAGGATTTGTGCCCTTATAAAAGAGAACCCACAGAGTTCCCCCACACTTTTCTGCCATGTGAAGACACAATGAGAAGACAGCTGGCTATGTGCCAAGAAGTGGGCCATCCCTAGACACCAAATCTGTACATCTTGATCTTGTACTTCCAGCCTCCAGAACTATGAGGGGTAAATATTTGTTGTTTAAGCCACCAAGTCTATGGTATTATGTTAAAGCAGCCTGAATAAACTAACTCAATTATCTTGCAGAAAGCAGCGCTCCTTGCTATTAATAAGTCTGTATTTCTTGTAGAATGTTGCGATGAGCTTATTCTTTGCCTTCCATCCAAACGTCTACTGTGGATGTGGAGTGATATCACCACGCGAGAAGGTGGAACTGCCCAGTGTTAATCATCCAGGTCAGTGGGTAGATCCCCAGGTGATATCATTTGGATCTTTGTCCCCTCAAAATCAAATGTTGAAGTTTGATCCCCAGTGTTGGAGATGGGGCCTCTGGGAGGTGTGTGAGTCAAAGGGGTAGATTCCTAATGAATGGCTTGGTGCCTTTTTCATGCTAATGAGAAAGTTCTTGCTCTATTGCTTCACATCAGAAATGATTGTTAAAAAGAACTGGGAGGGAGGCATCACCTCCCCTCTCTCTTGCTCCCTTTCTCACCATGTGGCTCCCTTTTACACATGGCCTTCTGCCATGAGTAAAGGCTCCTGAGGCCTCACCAGAAGCCGAGCAGATGCTGGCACCATGTGTCTTACATAGCCTGCAGAACCATGAACCAAATGAACCTCTTTACTTTATAAATTACCCAGTCTCAGGTATTCCTTTATAACAATGCAAAATGGACTAACACATCGGGTGAAACCACAGTGAAAGTAGAATGTAGCAATGCAGGAGAGAAAACCAGGGGGCTTGCCCAGCCTCCATCCTCACCCTCCATTGTTCAGGTCTGGATATCCACAAGTCTAGATACCCTGACAGAGCAAGGAACATGTATTTCATGATGAACTATAAGCTGAAGTTGGGGATTCTAATTTATGGGCCAATCTAATGATATAGTGCTTCCTGCATTTACTTCCCTTCTCTTATTTGAACCTTTATTTATTTATTGATCAAATATTTCTTCAGGGCCCACCAGGTATATGTACTTTTATGAGGCTGGAAACACAGTGGTAAACCAAAAAGATAAAATCACTGCTCTCAGAAAGTTTACATTCTATTGAGAAAGGAACAGACAATAGACAGAAAACAAACAGGGAAATCTTGGTAGCAACAAGTGCTCAGATGCAAAAACTAGCTGATACAATAGAGGCTGACTATTGTAGCAAGGACCGGCAGGGAAGGCCTCTGTTAGAACATAACAGTAAGCAGAGACCACAACAATAAGAATGCAGCCATATGAAGATGAGGAGGAGGAAGTAGGATGGGATGAGCCTTCCAGACAGAGAGAACAGCTAAGGTTATATCAGAAATGAACATGGTTTTTCCTCTGAGTCTTATGGTAAAAATAGATACATTAGATAGATGATAGATAGATAGATAGATAGATAGATAGATAGATAGATAGATAATAGAAAAGAAAAGAAAAGAAAAGAAAGTAGCTTGGTGTGTTTGAGGAACAGAAAGCAACCCAGCCTCGAATCTGGAGCATCATGAGCAAGGGAAGTGAGGGGTGAGGTCAGACAGTGAGCAGGATCTGGGTCTTGCAGTGTCTAATGGGGTTGGGGTTTCAATCTAAGTGTGATGGGAAGCCATTGGAAGTTTATAACCAAGCAGTGACACATAATTTATGTAGCAAACAGACCATCTGGCTGCTGTGTGGAGAGTAGATTGTGGGGGATATTAAAGTAGAAACAGAAAATCTAGCTGGGAGACTACTGCAGAAGGTGAGGTAAGAGATGGCAGTGGCTTGGAATATCAAGATATCAGATGTGGAGAAAGAATGAGATTTGCAAAATGTTTCAGAGTGGAACTAAGATAGTTTGCTGATGGATTGATTTCTTAGGCCATCCTTACATTGCTCTAAAGAAATACCTGAAACTGGGTAATTTATAAGGAAAAGAAGTTTAATCAGCTCACTGTTCTGTAGGCTTTACAGGAAGCATGGTGCTAGCAACTGCTTGGCTTCTAGGGAGCCCCCAGGAAGCTTCCTATCATGGTGAAAGGCTAAGGGGGAGCAGGCACCTCACATGGCAAAAGCAGGAGCAAGAGAGAGAGAGAGAGTGTGAGGGGGGTGCCACATACCTTTAAATGACCAGATCTCGTGAGAACTTATTCACTATCACGAAGACAGCATTAAGCCATGAGAGATCCACCCCGTGATCCAATCACCTCCCACCGGGCCCCATCGCCATCACTAGGGATTACAATTCAACCTGAGATTTGGGTGGGGACAGAGATCCAAACTATATAAATTGGATATAAGTTTATAAAGATCGAGAATGTTGCAGGAAGAACTGGTTTGGAAGCTGGAAGTCAACCATCTCATTTTGGAAAGGTTGTATTTGAATGACCGTTAGACATCTAAGTAATGATCTAGAGCAAGCCATTGGTCTGGAGCTCAGGAGTAGGTCAGAGCTAGATGTATACATTTGAGCCTTTGGCCTTGAGACGGTAATTTAAAGCCATAGGATTAGATGAATGTATCTATTGAGGAAATCCAGAAAGAGAAGAAAAAATCCTATGTCCAACTCCAACATGAGATTGTAGGATGTTCTGATGAGCTTATTCTTTGCCTTCTGTCCATACCTCTACTGCATAGTATCTTTAGTAGTATCTTGCTTAAATATTGTAAGCTGTCTCAACCACACTATGGCAATGAGAAAAACTGTAAAATCCATGCTTTGTCTCCCTAAAGCCAGTTTGCTGATTGTGGCTCTAGCAGACATTAGTGTGAGTAACCTTACACCCCAAGACTAAGGTTAATTTTAGGGTTTAGAGTAAGAGACTTTCCTCTCCTCCCTCTTGTGGAAAGTCTTCCTCCATTGCCAACTTTTGAATATATGGGTTAAAAATTTTTTAAAGGCATCAGCAAGTTTTCTACGTGTATTCTGATTTTACATGTGGGAAAACCAAGTTTCAAAGTTTAATGGTGTCTTAGCCTATTCAGGCTGCTATACCAAAATATCATAGACTGGGTGACTTTTAAGCAGTAGAAATTTGTTTCTCACATTTCTAGAGACTGGGAATTCCAAGATCAAGGTTGCAGCAGACTTGGTGTCTGCTGAGGGCCTACCTTCTGGCTCATAAATAGTATCTTCTATATGAGTCTTCAGCTGGTGGAAGGGAACACTCTGGTCTCTTCAGTCCCTTATAAGGGCACTAATACCACTCATGAGGACTCCACCCTCATGACCCAATTACCTCAGAAAGGCACCACCTCCTAATACCATCACATTGGGATATTCAAATCAAGTTGACTCCAAATCTACTATTTCCATCCTCCCTCCCTCCCTCCCTCCCTCCCTCTCTCTCTTTCTTTCCTTTATTTCTTTCTTTCTTTTTTGAGATGGAGTCTCACTCTGTCACCCAGGCTGGAGTGCAGTGGCATGATCTCAGCTCACTGCAACCCCTGCCTCCTGAGTTCAAGCAATTCTCCTGCCTCAGCCAAGTAGCTGGGACTACAGGCGTGCGCCACCATGCCCGGCTAATTTTTGTATTTTTAGTAGGGACGAGGTTTCACCATGTTAGCCAGGATGGTCTTGATCTCCTGACCTGGTGATCCACCCACCTTGGCCTCCCAAAGTGCTGGGATTACAGGCATGAACCACCATACCTGGTCACAATTCTTTCAACATTCTGTACTAATTCTTGTGTTCTTCCTCGGTAACCCTATTTCCTCAGATTCAATCGCTACTTATATTCTTATGATTCCCAAATATATATGTGTAGTTCACCTAGAAAAAGCAGACTTTCACGCAATTTGTCTCATCTTGGCTCTGCTCCTAACTCCTTAAATTTGGCCAATTTCAAACCTCTCTGGGCCTCAGTCTCTTCACTTATACAATGGGGGAATTAGACTAGTTGATCCTGAAATCCTTTCCAGTGCTCACATTCTGATTTTAAACTTGCTGCTTCTTTGAATAATGTTAACAGTAATGATGCTATTTATTGCATATGCAGTGCCAGACATGGAACCAAGTGCTTTACAGGTGTTAATATACTTAATCCTCCCAACAACATCCTACAAGGTAGGATCTATTATTATTTTTATTTTATAGTTGCAGAGACCAAGGTCCAGATAATGTAATCTCCTCCTATTTTGTAATGAACAAGAAAGTGGCAGAGGCAGGATTCAAACCCAGATGGTTTTAGTCTGGGGTCAGCATCACTTAGTCCCAGCTCTGTACCTGTTTCACTTCAAAGACCCTGAGCCCTGTTCTGCCTTCTCACCTTAGCCCAACTTCACTCTGCCCCTCAAGTGCAGGTCCTGACTTCTTCTGTTACCTCTTTACTGTGTACCTTTATCCTCTTTCTTCCCTATCTCTCCTGGCTATTCTTTCCTTCCTACACAAAACAAAAGAAAAGCAAAACAAAAAAAGAGTGCCTCCTTCAGTCACTGCCTTAACCCAACCTCCTTATTCTGTGCAGATGTCCAGAGGTCTCATCCTCCCAGAGGTCTTTGCTGAACTCTTTGGCTAGGTCAGCTTTTTATTTCCAGGTACCTCCAGGCATTTCCATTGAGAGAAAGTTAGGTTTGAGATGTCCATTTGACGTTAAGTAAAGATGGCCAGTGGGTGAACTGTGTTGGCCCCTCATCCAGAACAGGGACTCATGACGGTGGGACTGTGTTTGGTTCACCACTAGCAAAGACTTTGTCATGAAGAGGACTTGGAATAACAAAATGTATTTGTTTTCTGGGGCTACTGTAATGCAACATCACAAACTGTGTTCCTTAAAATAATAGTAATTTATTTTGTCAGAGTTCTGGAGACCAGACATTGGAAATGAAAGTGTTGGCAGGGCTGTTTTCCATCTGGAGGCCCCAAGAGAGAATCCGTTTCCTCTTTCAGCATCTGATACCTGTCTTCATTCCTTAGCTTCCTGGGCTTGTGACCACATCACTGCAGTCTCTGGCTCCATCTTCATGTGGCCTTCTTCTCTTCACCTGGATTAAAGATAAAATCCTTCATTTAATTGTATCTGCAAGCCTTTACCTTTTCACAAATAGCATTCACAGTTCAAGGGATTTGGACATGGACACATCTTTTTGGGGCCATCATTCAACTCACCATACAAGAAAACTGAAAGAAGTTCAGGAATGTCCTTCTCCAACCCCTCCCCTTTTCCCTTGACTCTAGCTACATTAAATTTCCTTCAAGATTCAGCTCAGCTGTCACCAAATCAAGGGAGCCATCCTTGCCCCGTGCCCCTAGTCTCAGTACATGCTCCTCCTATAATAATAATAATAGCTGTTGCATATTCAACACGGTTTTAAGGGCTTTATGTGTAGGAACTCATTAATTCTTGCTACAGCCTCATGGGGTAGTTAGTCCTTATTACTGTCCTTATTTTACTGAAACCTAATACTCTGTTGTGTTGCTTCTCTCCCCTGTTAGACGCCTCTTCCACGGCAGAAACCAACCACTTATTTATCTCCGTGTCCCTAACACTCCCTGTGGCACATCCAGGCTCTCTAGAAAGGTTGATGGGTTGAATAAATGACTGAATAATAGGTTGGTAATAGACTGGGGAGGATTTTGAGTATCAAATTAAGACATTTGAATTTCATCTTTGAGATCGCAGGAGGCCAACAGAGTTTTAAACCAAGAAGTGATAGAAGGGATCCAGCTTTCAAATACATCCTGTCCTTGGGAGAAATCACATCAAATATTGTTTTAATTACACATAGTTCCACCTGGGCCTTTCTACCATGCTTTAGTCTCATATTTCCAGCTTCTTACTGGGTCTCTCTTGGCCCTAAATCAGCATGTCCAGACTAGCCCTCATTATCTTTCCATTCTACCAAAGTCACTCTTCCTTTATTACAGAGCTCACAGGTGTTCAACCACACCATGTGAATTTATCCCAAGCACTTATTTACCTCACCTGCCCTGCCAACTCTGTCTTTTGAACTTTGTCTCAAATCCATTCCCTTGGCCACTGCCGTATTTGGGGCTCTTGTATCTTTCACCTGGGCTATTGCCATAGCCTCCTCATCAAACTCACTGCCTTTAGTCCTCTCCAACTCCAGTCCATCCTCTACCATACTGCTCATCTTACAATCCTAAAAGCCAGATCAGATGATATTACTCTCTTGCTAAAACAACAAACAAACCCTTAAAACAACTTTGGAATGGTTGTTCGTTGCTTACAGGATCAAGACCTTCAAGATGTAGCTTTGTCTTAATTCATCTGGGCCACTATAAGAAAAGATCATAAACTGGGCAGCTTTAAAACAATGAAAATTGAACTCTGACAGCTCTGCAGACTGGAAAATCCAATATTAAAATGCCAGCAGATTCAAAATGGGTGAGGACCCATTTTCTGGTTCATAGATGGTGTATTTTAGCTGTGTCCCCACATAGTAGAAGGGGCAAAGCAGTTCTCTGGGTTCTCTGAGTGCATAAATCCCATTCATGAGGGCTCTGCCCCCATGGCCTCCTAATTCCATCCCATTGGTGATTAGGTTTTAGCATGTGAATTTTGGGGGGTACAAACATTCAGACCATAGCAAGCTACAACCTAGTTTTGCTTCTTATTCATGAACCTTTTGCCTTCTTGATGAAGATTAATTTAGTTAAAACTAGATAATATAATCTGTAAATCCACTTAACAAGCATACAAATAGCAACAAAGTTATAATATATACTGAAATCATTTCTTACAAAGAAACCATAGATTAAAGATAATGCTGAGCTCCACGCCCAAACCAGCAATACTGTAAGCCCAAGGGATTGGCACATACACCTAGTATGTGCCTTCAGCAACATTAAACTTAAAACAATAACTATCTAACCATATCTGACAAGAATTGTTCCATGAACTTTAAATTATGGAAAATAACATTTAAAATAGAAATGTACATGATCCGTTTTTAACGATAAGCTCCTCCTTAAGCATGTGTAGTTGTGTGTTCCATAACAGGGTTATGCTTTCAGAAACATGTCAGGAGAGTTTGTTGTACAAACTTCATACAGTATATTTACACAAACCTAGATGGTATAGCTTACTACACACCTAGGCTATGTGGTATAGCTTCTTGCTCGTAGGCCGCAAACCTGTATAGCATGTTACCACACTGAATGGTAAGACAGAAAATAGTAACACAACAGTAAGTATATGTGTGATAGAAAGTTTTCAGCTCCATTATAAGTTCATGGGCCCACCATTGTATATGCAGTCTATTGCTGCCTGAATCACTGTTATGCAGCAATGACTGCTGATATGTATATCAACACATTTCATTTATGTTTCTTATCACATAGCCTGAAAGAATTTTGTATAATATTTTTAATAATTTTGTGCACGTAACAGTTTGGACTATGACTTACACATATATTTAATATACATATTAAACATATATATACATGTATGCTATATATATTTTTAAATGTATACATATGTTTAATATATAATTAAATCTGTGTAATATATATTCATTTTATATATTGATTATAGCCATATAATATTCATGTTCAATATTATATTAAATATAATGAATATATATATATATAAAAGTGAAACAGCCCATCAATCTCTCTTGCTATGTATATATATATGTGTCTTATTTAATTTTAAGCAAGAAGACGAAACTTTTTTAAGACTAAATAATGCCAGGCTGGGAGAGATATAGCTACAGGTTATTGGAAGAGAACCGGAACTTCCACCCATTACAAGTTGAGCATTCCTAATCCAAAAATCCAAAATCCAAAATCCAAAGCCCAGAGCATTTGGGCACAGACATCATACCACAAGTGGAAAATTCCACATCTGATCTCATGTGACAGTCACAGTCAAAACTTCGTTGCATACACAAAATTATTTGAAATATTATGTAAAATTACTTTCAGGCTATGTATATAAGAAACATTCATGAAATTTGTGTTTAGACTTGGGTTCCATCCTCAAGATATTGTATTATGTATATGCAAATATTTCAATATTAAAAAAAATCAAAATTTGAAACGCTTCTGGTCCCAAGCATTTTATATAGGGATACTCAACCTGCAGGAGTCACTCACCATTTCTCCCTACCCCCAGCCACTAGTAATCTACTTTTCTTCCCTATGAATTTGCCTATTCTGCATATTACATATAAATGGGAGCCACAAACTATGTGGTCATTTGCAATTGGCTTTCTTCATGTTTTCTTTGAGTTTCAACTATGTTGTAGCATGGGTCAGTAGTTCATTACTTTTCATTGCCAAGTAATATTCCAGCGTGTAGATATACCATATTTGGTTTATCCATTCATCTATCAGTAGACTAATGGGCTGTTTCACTCTTTGGCTATAATGAATAATGCTACTAGGAGCATTCATGTATTAGTTTTTGTGTGAACATGTTTTCATTTCTCTTGGTTATAAACCTAGGGGTAGAGTTGCTATGTCATTTGGTATCTCTATATTGAACCTTTTGCAGAGTTCCCATACTGTTTTCCATATTAGTAGCACCAATTTACATTCCCACCAGTAGTGTATTCAAGAGCACCAGATCTTATATCTCCCTTATGAAGGAACTACAACTTTCCCCTAGGTTCAACTTTTTAAAACCTGGGAAAGGATTTTAAAGAACTGTTTTCTCATCTCTGTAGCTAGAGAAGGGTCACCTAAGAAGATGGCCATCTAACACGTGGCTGTGGGAAGGAGTTTCCCTGGAAAAGTGATATACTGGGCAGACAAGAATAGATGTCTGCCACAGAAGCCTAAAAGTTAAGGATGGCATCACCCCTTAAGGATAACTGTAAATGTGTAGGAGCAATTGTAGTAATACAATGACTGGGAGGGTGCTACTGGCATTTAGATAGTATCTTGGATCTGGAGTTGTAAATGTCCTGAAATATGCAAGACAGTTTCATTCAATAAAGATTTGTCCTGTCCAAAAAGCCAATAGTGCTCCAGCTGATAAACTCAGTTCTGTAGTAATAAACTCCCCATTTTTTAGTTGGCCATATGTCTATCCAAAATAAAGATTCTATTTCCTAGTCTCCCTTTGCAGCCATATGTGGCAGTGTGATTAAGTTCTGGCCAATGGAACGTAAGCAGAAGTGTTGTGTACAACTTTTCACAGGAATCCCTGGAGAGAGAGGTTGTGCCCTTTTTTCACCTTTCTTCCCCACAAACCCCTACCACTAGCTGGAATGCAGATATGATGGCTGGTGCTGGAACAGTCATCTAGATTATGAATAAAAACTCCACTTTGAGAAATAGTGGAACAACAAGATGGGAGGAATCTGTATATATGATGATTGCAGTCATACCAACTTTGGGCTGTCCCTGGTTAGGTGTGAAACAAACTTCTATTTTAATAAGGCACTATTTGGCTTCTGTCAATCTTAGCTGAACCAAATTCTAACAAATCTAACCGTATACTATGTGCCAGGCACCTTCTCAACTGTCTTACTTTATTCTCATTTACTAATAATACTTTCCCTGTGACCCCCCTATAAACCACAATGCATACAGGTCTGCCTGTTTACAAGCCACAGTGCCCTTGATGCAAATATGTATTGCAACAAATAACATTTATTGAGCCCTAACTATAGGCCAAGCACTGTCCTATGAAAATATTTTACATGCATTAACTCAGTGATTTCCCATCAAACCAATAAAATAAATACTCTTACCCCCATCCCATTTTGAGATGGAAAAACTGAGGCTTAGAAAAATTAAATAACTAACCTGTGTTCACCTAGATTGTACATGGGAGACACTGCCTCCAGAGCCCCTTTCTGTAACTGTGCAGCCCAGATAGCAACAAATTAACAAAACCCAGAATGAATTAATAATGATAAAACTAAAGTGACTGTAATTTACAATAAATAAGCAAGAAGAACTGAAATAAGAACCTACATTACCTCAGTATAACAGTGACAATGATGATGATGATGCATGGTAGGAAAGTGGCCTTCTGAAATCTGGAGAAAATCCAACTATCAGCATATGT